AAAACACTGCAAGTAAATTAGAAAAAAAGATAAACGGCAATTCTTTTTTTCCTTCTTAAGTAATCTCAATATAGATGTATTTTTCACACCCAATGGACTCCTCATAAAAGAACTTAGAATAGTAGTTAGAAGACCAGAGTTCAAACCCTGGCTTGCAGCTTATTAGCTACCTGGTCTCTGGCAAGTCAAGTGACTCCTTTGAGCTAAAGCTGGCTTAACTACTAAAATAATGATGGTCTTCTCAGAATGTCTCCTTCTCAGACTAGTTTGAGGTCAAATAAAATCATGTATATGAAAGCAGTTTAAAAAGTATGTGTCATCATAAAATGCAAGGTATGTTGTATTTATTCTTCATTTTAAATTCCCGAACAATAATAAAATTCTGTAAATAAGATCTCTAAGTATTTCCTAATGCCACAAAGTAAAACTTTTCCTCTTTGGGAAATAAACAACACTCAGAATAATCTGGTGGAAAAAAATAGTTTAAGGAATTTTTCTAATAGTTTTATGAAAGCTTAATCCTGTGAAAATTTTAAAATACAGCAATGCAAATTATGCACCATCCTATCCCTTAAGAAAGGGACAAACTATAGGAATATGACTCTTTGTCAGTAATCTCATGATAGAAAATTAAGGGGAAAAGAGAAAGATCATCAAAGAATTATTTCAAGTCAACAGAGAATTTTGCTATCAATTCAAAATAAAGAAACCTAATGACAGTCACGTAGGGTTACATCATTCATTTCTGTAAAAAATAATCCAAAGTCAAACAGTATTTAATTCTTAAATTCTTCTACTAACAACTCTGCAGTTCAAACTATCAGAAATTTATTTCTAGCACGTTTAAAATTATTATATCAGCCCAATGTAAACTCTTAGAATGTCTTTTCAGGGCTTCAGGCCCCCAAAATGGAATATTGTACAATTATTTAAACACTGTTGAATTAGAGTGAAGAGATAATATCACTTAACATCCTTAAATTCAATGAATTTTTATTAAGTACCTACTGTATAAGTGGAAATGCTTATAAGAGCTTACAGGATATAGTGTCCCATTTTCAATATATTTAGATTAACTAAATATGTATATTTTATAGATCAACCTACTTTTACAAGTAGCACTCATCCTGGATATTTAGAGTTGTCAAAGAAACTGGCCACAAACAGAACTATTACTTAACTCTAAAAAGAACAACTTTTTCACCATGATGAGGGTATAATACCTGTTCTACTTGGGATTGTTAACAACTTTCCAATCCACCATTTTTTAAACCACTAAATAGATAGACTTTAGACAGAAAAAAGAGAGTTAAATTAACATATCATTAAAAAAAAAAGAAGCATTAACCAAATGGTCCTTCCAATCCAAGTTAAAAAAGTTGAAAATATGTCATAAGATTCTTTTATTATTTCACCAAAGTTATAATACAGTACTTGGTCTGTTTTGTTATGCATTTCCTATTGCCCATCTGAAATTTAAGAGTCATCTCAGAAACTGAATATTTGTGGATTACATTGCAAAGGTATTGTCTTACCGAAGGAAGGATTTCTAGTGCAAATGGACTAAACTAATAATTGTAATGGCACAAATATTTTTATCTTTGAAAACATTTGGTGATAGACTACTTTAGTATTTTGTTATTACTCATGGTCAAATTTAACATACAGCATCTCCAAAACAAAATATCTCCATTCATTAACTACTGAAAATAAGAAAACAGCATGATTTCATATTGTCTCAAATGTTTTGCAAAGGACATATACAATTTAAATAGCATATGTGTTTGTAAGGATAGCTAATTTGGGTCAATTGTATGGCATTTTATTAACAAGCACTGCCATATTGAATTTATTTATAAAATATCCATTTTGCTATACCTCATACTTTGGATGAACCACAACAAAAGGAAGGTATACTTTTAATTACATTTTGAAATTTGGATACTTGGGCTATTTATCACCTATTTTTTGTTGAAATAGACCATAATTTTATATTATCTGTATTTCTTATAATTTCAGTTTTATATTGCGCCAAGTGTGACTTTCCAATAATGTGAACAGTTTAAAAGGAAAGCAGTATTAATATTACACGAGTATTATTAAAGATAAAATAAAACATAAGCCGAAATTATTTTTCCTCCCTTAGGAAGTTGGAATTTATACCAAAAGTGGTAAATTTGAGTTAATCAGGTCTACACTTACATAGTCTGCAAACTGTATACACAGAATGTTTAGATTGTCCGAAGTATTCTTAGAGTGCTAAATTAATTCTGAGGCAGAATAAGCAGCAGGAAATTATATCTGTCCAACAGATGACCAATACTCTTCATTCTTTAATCTGCTTTTCTGTCTTGTGAATGTACACGGTCTGTTTAATGGCCCTTATTCACAGACAGACTGGATCCTGCAGTTTGACAAGGACCCACTGCAGGTAAATCACAATTAAAATAAACCTAGCCAGTCATAGATTATATCTTTATATTTAATCTAATATGAAAAATTTAAAAATCCAGTCTGTATCACTCTGAGGAATAAGTTCCATGTTAATTTTCCAGAATACTATTTTTATCCTTTTGTACCCAAAGGCAGAGAGCTTGATAGATGAGTTTGCCTCATACTTAGTACTTAAATTTCACCTTTAATTGTACTGGAAAATCACACATGTATACACTCCTAGTCTACTCAACAAACACCAATCCCCTGACCCACGCTCTCTGACAATTGATTTTGTCCCCAAATTCTGTTTAGATTTGCCTTGAGGACATCTGGCACACTCATTTGTCAAAAAAAAAAAAAAAAAGTCCTTTTCTTCTAGTGAAGAAAATGTTTCTTCCTCATTTACAATTTATGTTTTTATAAAAAATATTTGAAACGTACACAAAATCAATTACTTGCGGTTATGGAAAAATATGATATTGTGAACACTGTATTACATTTGGGTTCAAAATCAGTAGTCTCAAAGTTTACCTAGTTTCAACTTTCTCAATCGTAACATGTTAAAGAATAACATACCTATATTTTATACCTTCTACTTTTTCATTCTGTGTGCAGCTTCTTGTCAATTTCTCATGTGTACAGGTACTTTACCACTAACACTATATATAATATTTTCATCACATAAATAAAATAATCTCATTAACATTATCCTGAAGGAGATTAACAAATGATATGGAGGAAGAAAAGATCAGCGCTTTATAGTTTCTGTAGCTGGAAGTCACAATATAAACTTTAGAATACTTAAGAACTTAATTTGTAAAAGCAAGACAACATAAAACTAATATATCTTCCACTTTTAAGAAAGTCAAAATTTAGTAATAAAGATTAATATTTAAATAGTAGTTTACTGTTGACAAAGTACAATCACATATATTTGGATCATGAGTTATTTTTAAACTTAGTAATGTTTTACTAATATAATTTCAGGAGAGACATGAAAACATTATTTAAAAAATAAACATATTCAGGTACTAAGCAGAATACTTTATATCTAGAACTACTTGCAATGTTGACATCCCTTTCAAAACTTTAAACACAAAACTAACAGTTGATAAAATCTGCAAAAATAACTATCCACAAAGATAGCTCTAATTCATGTATGTTTCTGCTTAAAAGTCACTCCCATCTGCTATAATGTAGACTTTATCACTAAATACAACACATGATTTTTCCTAATTAAATAGTACCCATAGCAACTACAGAATTCCTGCAAAGTAATACAACTGTGGCAGTTTACAAAATGTCAAATGCTTGGACCTCCTTAGGAAACCAAGTTCTCAAACAAAGTAGTACTCGGATGCCAAAAATTTAGGAAAAGTGATCGTGTATCTGTTAGACGAGTTAATGGCAAATAAATATGAATTAAAATAATTAAATCAATGACGCAGATATCCTCCAAATATTTAAAAACTCTTTGTTTTCAATATCACTCACTTGTTCAGTGTACTTTCTTGTACTGACAGGACTTTTAAAATACAGTTCAAATTAAACATGTTATTACTGTTATGCAAAATTGTACATAGTAACTGTTCCTATGTCTCTTACATAATCTAGGGCCATTATCTTAAAGATTTTGAACAGTAGTAAATGAGCACGTAAAGCTTGAAACATGTATTTCAAGAGTGAAAGTGCTCTGTGAACGTTCCACTGGTTACATTTTAGAGAATTTCAGATTAATCTGTCATTGATGATATTTTTACATTAAGTTATATGGTATCTTGGTGAGGGAGTACGGTGCAACCGTCCCATTACAGCATTAGGGGAGGTCACCCGTTTAGTGTCACTGTGCGGGATGACAGAGCAAGCTGGCTTGGTTTGTGAATTCAGGTGGATTGAGGACTAACAGGATTCAGCACCAAGGTAAGGATTCATGGAGTTCCATCCACAGGATACATGCATTACGTGACAGTAAGAGACACTTACAACCCAGAATACAAGAGCAGGGCAGCCCCAAGTGACATCACCAGATCATCTGCAGCGCCAACCAACCGCCTAGAACACACATCCTCCACCCCAGGGCTCCCGGCTGCCTCACTCTTAGCAAGGCTTCCTTCTCCTTCCCCAGTGCAGGAGAGCATGTCTCTTCCTTAAAAGCAAGGCATAGCCTTCCTCAAGTGAAAAGCAAATATGAAGACATAAAGGAACAGAATAAAAAACTAGACGGAGTATAATTTCCACTAACTTGACATTCAAGGTAACAGGAATACCACCAAAATGTTGCAGGAGAAATCAACTTGAATTATCCAGACAAGAAATGAAAATAAAGAAAGAAAGAAAGAAGGAAGGAAGGAGAGAAGGGAGAAAGACAGACCAGCTGAATATCCCCAAGACTAAATCTTATTATTATTTTTTTTTTAACTCTGACTTGCTCTGGAAACAGTCAACTGTGGGAATCGTGCATTTCTTTCGAAAACCACTCTTAAAATATAATAAAGGGGAGGAAGGGACTCTATTGCTTCAATTTGATTCTCTTCTAATTTATCCACAACTTAGGTTTTACTTACAAGCATTTGTCACAGCAAAACTGTTGGCTGTCTCAATGTTGTCCACATGAGGTACCAAATTAAAAGGAGCTTCCGACGCATTGGGGCTGGTGTTATGAAGAAAAATTGCTAATCGAAAAGCCGTGTACTCCTGATCTGTGTTTCGGATGAAGAGACCACCTATTAAAAACAGCAGAAAAAGCACATTCTCGGTGTTTCCTCTTGGAAATGCAATACCCACCCCCAAGCACTGTCAAATCCACTGCCATTCAGCAACACACACAATTAAGAAGCCCTCCCTGCCACATCTTGAGACTGCCCTTTGTCCCTAAAGTGCAGGCTTAGTATTTCAGTCTTAAGGACAGCTCAGCGCTTTCCTGTCCCAATCTGTCATGATCACAATGACCTCTGAGACCATTGAGCGTGTTTTCCTTCCTCTCTCTTGCCCTCCCCATGATTCCCAGCACACTGCTACATCAGCCAAGCTCGGGGCATTTCTAAGAGGCATGCAGATGAACAGAAGAGAGGGTTTGCATTAAAATGCAGAAATAAAGGGATGTGGTGACACTAAGGGCCGAGGGGAATCGGAAAGGAGACGTGAACTTTGTTTTCCTGCAGCTCGTGGACTCAGCCTAATTAGCCCCGTTTTGTGCACAGTCCACGAGAAATGATGCAGTGTTGAGGCTGGGCTTAGCTGGAAGAAATTCAATAGCTGCGTCCCATAAAAAGACCGGAGAGAACAGCAAGGAAAGCCACGGACGGGTAGGGTCGCTGGCAGTGGAGTCCAGCGGGAGCAATACGGGCAAAAAAGACTCAAGAGGAAAACAAAACAAAAGGAGAGAAGGTTTCCGGGAAAGCGATCTAACTTTGGAATCGGTTAACCGGCAGAGAGAAACAGGGGGGTGCGGGTGGAAACGCTTTTTGCCCAGTGTCTTTCTGGAATGGCCAGAAAGCTGAGAAGTCCAGCATGGGAAGAAATGTGTTTAAAATACAGAATAATAATTTTTAAAAACCCCAACAAACTCGACATCCCTTCACGCTCTGGAGAGAGGAATGAGAAGAAATAGCACATTCAATGTAATCAGACCCCACGGAGGTTGTTTTTTTTCCAACTTATTCCAACCCTACTTAAGCGACTTGAACCAAAGGTGGCAGTGGGAGCACGGACGAGGAGGAACGGGTGGGCAGGGTGTGCACATTCCAACTGAAGCAGCACCGAAATGCAGTTTTCTGCACGGGGGCGAGGGAAAGGGAGCCGCCGAAGGTCTCCCCGAATTGCTCACCCGCAACTCCTTTAACTCAGTTTCGGATACCTACCACAGACACCCACACGCACACCCCACCGGGCAGAGCTTACCTATCTGCACGCTGCTCGGAAAGGCTCCCATGGCGAGTCCCCAGAACCCAGAAAACAACAAGACAATGTGTCTGCAAATAATCCTCATCTTCTTTTCTGCTCTCCCTGGCGCGCGCTCTCTCTCTCTCACTCTTCCTAAAGGCTCTTCAGAGAGGCATTGACGACGACGGCGCTAAAATTAAAAACAACAACAAACAAAAAAAAAAAAAGGAAAGGAGAGAGGTGTGGGTGTTTGGTGATTATGACCGCCCCCCTTCAGCAATCCGCCGCGAGCTGCCAGATTTTTCCCGCAGTCTCCATGGCCCCGAGAGCGGTTTCCTGTCCGGCTGCAAATGTTGCACATGCAGAAGATGGTGGTGGCGCGTCTAGTGGCTGCTCGCGGGGACGAGACATGCGCCCTGTCCTCGCCTCCCTCGCGCCCGGCCCGCCGCTCGCCTTCGCGCACACCCTGACACTGCGCCGCGGCCGCCGCACGCGCACCGGGCCCGCACCCGCGCGCCCCTCCCCGGGCGCCCCGCTGCCTCCGCGCGCCCCTCGCCCCCCGCTCGGCCCGCCGCTCCCCGCCGGCGCTCCCCGCGCGCCCCGCTCTGCCCACGCTCCGCCGCCAGGCTGGAGCCGGGCTTTCCCTGCTCACCACTCGCCCACTCCCTCCTCTCTTCTCCCCCGGCTCGTGGAGGGACCTACTCCGGGGATGGGCACCCCCTGCGCCCCTCTCTCCGCTTCGCCCGGCGCCTCCGCTTCTCCGCTGCACTTGGCAGGAAATTGGCCCCGCGGACGGGGTGTGCAAGCCCGGATCAGGGGCTCGGGGAGTTAGCGGCTCCCCAGGCCCCGGGCCCCCTGCCGCATTCTTGCCGGCTCGCGGGGAGGACCGGCCGCCTCCCTCCCCGACAGCCCTCGCCCTTCTCCCAGCCTCGCCCTCTTCTGCCACTGGGCTGCGCGCGGGGGACTCCGGTCCTCGCTGCAGCAAAGATTTCTCACCAGCAAACAGCCCGGGAATCTGGAGAGCCTGAGACAGGAATGGATGAGGTGAAGGGGCCCGGGAGGGAGAGGAGGAGCAAGAAGGCAAAGGGCAGCCCGAGCAGGTTTAAGAGACTGGGATCAACGAGGAAAGAATTGGAGGAGGAAAGGCTTGGAAGAGACCCAGGGCAGAAGTAACATCCTAGGAAAGACAGGGAGGACCGAAAAGTTCATTTAAATGCAAAGTTTAGGGTAATGAGCGGGATGGAGAAGAGCCTGAGAAATGAGAACTCAGGGGAGGCTCCAGTCCGTTGTTTGAAAGGCTTGAGGCAGGACTAGGGAGTAAGAACTGCGTGGAGCGCAAAGCAGGAAGAGTGCCTGAAGCCTCCTTTCTTTCCAGCAGCCCATTCTGGAAGACACTTTTCCTCTGTGCTGTGGCCCACTTCCGGAGAACGGCCGACACGGTTCAGGGGCTGATGGAGGAGGATGGCAAGGACAGCGCTCGGGGCAGTGGGCACAAGTGTCTGGGAGGAAAACGGGGTATTTTTCAGGCACATCTTTTCTTAGCTGGGGCTCTGGAATATTCACCCGGCTCCATGTCACCCCCAGAAGACATAAGCGCTGCACTGGTGGTGCCAATGGTTGTGTTGACTGATTATCCTAGAGAGCTTCGGGGCTCTGGTGTCCCTTACTCCCAGGGGCACCGTGAATTCATTTCACCAGGCTGTGTTGGATGGAGTCTGTACCGCACCCCCAGAGAATGACTGTGGTAGCCATGAAGGACAGGTTTCTGATTCCTCTGTATGGCTTGAGGTCTACTGATCTACACAGTAGCTGCAATCCACTAATTCATTAAACAGTGAGTGAAACCGTTTTAAATCTTTACAGTTCTTTGGGTGCTATTGGTTGGATTCTACCATTTTAAAGCCTGGAAAGTAGGGTCAGATGAGTTCAAACTAAGCTTCTCAACAATCATTACAGGGAAAGATTCTCCTTAAAGGTTAAGGAAACTGAAGCAGTGTTTCCCATTACATTTTACAAAAGAATACAACTGCCTGTGTTTACCCAGTGTAACATTTGGGAAAAGAGCAGAATGGCATAGATTAAGTGGAATTCTTACAAGGGCCCCACCTGGTTAGACTTTTTTTTTTTTTTAATATGCACTATCTTTACCCCTTCAAGCCTCCTTATACAACATATCACCAATTACCTGTATTTGTAATTTGTAAAGGACATTTCGTCATCCCTGCTAAAACTTCAGAGTCTTTTCTTTTCAAGTTCTGAGGTTTGCTTTTAATGTCGCATCTTTTTGTGGTTGCTGGTATTTACCCACTTTTCTGTTACATTGCACCACAGTGTTATGACAAAAAACAACCTAATAGTGAGTAATTGGATTACACAAATCATGCATTTGTCATTTTGGTGACGAAGACTTCAGTCTTGCGAGTCAAGTGGGATTTGAAATGTTTTTCTTTTTGTCTTTTCTGTCAGTGTAAAAACCAAGGCTGTAAATAATATCATTCCATTTCTCTTATAGTAAAAGGGGCCACATAAAATTCAAGCTGAATGTAAGTTAAATTAAGATTTCAAAACCCACCAAATCATGAAAGTCATTACCTAGTTGGGCAACGAGTGAAGCTCTGCTTGATGTACAGACAGAATAAGCAACTTTTATTCTTCTCAAAACTGAAAGATTTGAGCTCTCATGTGATGTAATGCCACCCTTGGTTTAGATGCAGGGAAAGTTTTCTGGTTCATCTCACCACCATGATGACACCTTGGCTAATAGGACCACAGATAACATAATTATATTTTTCCAAGATAGGAATCCGGGTATTTTTTTTTTAATTTCTATTTTTCCAGTTAATAAAAACCCCATTTTACTTTACAAATCTAAATGATCTTTCTCTGTATATCTCTATCCCTCTATGTAGGTACAGATCTATAGATCTCCTTTCATACCTGTCTTTAAGATGTACCAAAAGGGAAAGTGCTGGGCAGCTGGGTGGCTCAGTCGGTTGAGCATCCAACTCGATTTCAGCTCAGGTCATGATCTCAGGTCCTTAGCATGGAGCCTGCTTGAGATTCTTGCTCCCCCTCTCCTTCTGCCCCCTCCCCCACTCTTTCTCCCTCTCTCTCTAAAAAAATTTTTTTTAAATAAAAACAAAAACGTGTCTAATAATGGTAGGGCCGGCACTTGCACTTTTAATCCTGAGTGTTTGGTCCTCTGAACCATTTTATAATTATGACTTGTGATATACCTCCTATTATAGGAAACAATTACTGGAGCCTCTCTTTGGAGCATTTGTAAAGGCAGAGGTAAAAGATCCTGCTACAACAGAATGAAAAATTCAAAAGGTTATTACTAGCTGAGAAAACCAAAGATACACACACACACACACACACACACGCTTGATTTTATTGCTTTCGGGCTACTTTCGGGCTATTTTAAGTAAATATTTTCACAGTTTTCTGAACTGCAATTTATTAATACATTAAATGAAGGTATCATACCAGAAGATTTCTAAGATTCCTCACAACTTCCCAAATCTCTAACCCTGTGAAGTCAACTCAGTTCTGCTATGGGAGAGGCCCTGGTGCTGTGGGGAATTGCCAGATGAAGGAGCCACACAACCTTGTACTCAAAACACTCACACAGCATGTTAGAATATGGCCACAGAGAGTCAATGAATCAAGGAATAAAGGGGGCTTTGTGGAGATTTTTCAATGAGAAGAGATAAATATAGGTAGATACAGCTTAGTAGGTAGAAAAATGGTGTCCAAGAGTCTGTGGGTATAAAGCACGCATTGCTGAGCTGTTTGGGGGTACAAACTTGGGAATGGAGAGGTGGATAAGAACAGAAGTCAGGTTGGGGCATATCAAATAAAGTGCTTGAGATACTGAATATATATATATTTACAATTACAGTGACTTTTTTTTTTTAACTCATCACCAATGTATAATCTGTAATAGTATCATCTGGTATGACACTTTTAGAAAAGGCACATTTTTGGGAGTGGGAGTCAGGGGGTGACAGCTCTGGACCAGGAAAGGCAGGAGCTGAGGCTAATTTAAAGACTGGCCTTTCAGAAAGCCAGGTGAGATGGGGCTGGACTGCAGTGGGACCATAAAGAAGAGAGAGGAGGAGCAAGGGAGAGAGCAAAGCTGACACAGGCACACTCTCCAGCTGCCGGGGGTGGGGGAGTGAGGTGGGGTGTGGCACATATTTCAGGTCAAGGCTATCCCCAAGTTCGACACCTGAATGCTCTAAAAAGAAGCTGCAGTCATCAGAAGGTTGGTAATGCCTTCAGTTGGGAAAAGGAACTTGGAAAGAGCAAGTTTGCTCAGGCATGGGCTTTTCAATAGATTATTCACACTCAGTTATATAATGAGCACCTACCACGTGTGTTTACTGTCTATGTGCTGGAGAAATAAATGTGAGCAAAGCAAAATCCCTGCTCGCACTGGAACACTCCTCGTGTTTATGAACCCTCACTAAGTTGCCAGGAATAGTGTGAAAGCCCTATGTAGACATCGGTTGATCTACAGAAAATCTGAGCTATACTAAGAAACTCATCTAAAGGTTAAATTCTTACTCAAGGTTATATTCTTAGCAAATGTTAAAGCCAAGAGCTAGGGCTAAAACTCAGGTCTGCCTGATTCCAGTGACTACGCTGTCTTCATTAAAATCTACTGAGTCAATGAGCTTAAGATGCAATGAGAGTTCTGGAAACAGAAAACTAAACTGGAAGAATCCACAATATTTAGAAAAGTAGTGCAGTGTACTTTTAAAAGACCTCAGACTTTTAGATGACAGGCCATTCATTTCCTGGCTACATTACACTGGACATGTACTTAACCTTCCTGTTCTGACAGAGTCTATGTAAACTTTCAGCACAGTTTTGGCACATCCTAAGAAATTCTAATTAATAAAGAGTTGCCAAAAAATGCGATCAAGGTTCCAATAGAGGGAGGCCCTAAATGCCATGGGGGAAAAATGGGAAGTCTAATTCTGATTTGAGGGGAAATGTAGGAAGAACTTACAGAGACAGAGAAGTTGAACCGAATGTTTATGGATGTGGAGAGATGATCAGGTAGGACGTATGTCTTTCTGGCAACTTCTAAAAGTTAGCTATGACTGACTGGATGGGTTGCACTGGGGGATGTGCTGGAAGTGAGGCCAGAAAGCAAAGCAAGGAAGGGATGGTTGTAAACTCATTCACTCAACAGTTTCATCTCCATGTCTGCGAGTTGCAGAAATCACGAAAGTCCGTAAGCAAAGGGGTGAAATGACCTGATTTGCATTTTAGATTGAAAATCCTAGCATGAGTGTGGAGGCCGGAGTCAGGGGGAGAACTCTGGGACCTGGAGAAACAGTCTAGGTGAAAAATGACCATGTGAACGAAGTAGCAACAG